CGTCTGGCAGGGTCACAGATCTGGGTCCTGGGACTGCGGACAGCCTCAAGCACTGCCGCCCCACCCGCGAGGACATGGATCCAGGTCCCAGACCGTGGACAGCCTCAAGCACTGCCCCCCGCCTGGCAGGATCACAGATCCGGGTCCCAGACCGCAGACAGCCTTGCCTGCTACCGCCTGCCTTCAGTATGCAAATTAGCCGCCATCTTGTTGCTTCAGGGTGGGGGTCCCCACTGGGGTGCCTGGCCAGTCTGGGTGAGGGGCTGAGGGCTGTTTTCAGGCTGGCGGGTGACTGAAGCTCCAAACCTCTCCTTTTTTTTTTTTTTATTCTGGCATTTATTTACCTTCTATGCCTGTCACTGGAGCTGAGAGCCGGCTTTCTCTCTGAGGCTCGGCTGCTGAAAGCAGGTTTCTGGCCTTTGTTTACCTTCTGTATTCGAAACAATGTTGCGGTCTTGCTGGCTGAAGCCTGGCTGACTGAAAGGAGGTTTCTGGGGTTTGGTTTAGCTTCTATATTTGTTACAATGTTTCAAACTGCAAGCTCAGAGGCCAGCAGTGCAGGCGGGGAAGCTTGGCTTCCTCCGTCACTGAAGCAAGGAAGCCTCCCTGTTCACTTCAAGCTGCCTGGCTGCCGGCCGCCATCTTGGCTGGCAGTTAATTTGCATATCACCCTGATTAGCCAATGGGAAGGGTAGCGGCCATACGGCTAATTACCATGTTTCTCTTTTATTAGATAGGATGTTCCAAGTTTTGCTCTAAGTGCCTTGTAGTTCTTGGAACAATCCTTCAGGGTAAGTATTGTTATTATTTTCATTTTGCACATGAGGAAACTGATGTCCAGAGAACTGAACGGAGGCCCAAAGCCAGCAGCTAGTACTGGATAATGGCATTCAACTCACGTCTGCCTGACGCCTCTGCCCACGGGCCCAAGGACGGCTCAGTCCCTGGTACCTCATCAGCTCCCTCAGGGGAAATGCTGCAGAGCCAGGCCAGGCACACTCACCTTTTCCCAGAGGAGGCGGACCGGCTCCGGGGGTACCTGGGGGAGGCCCTGGGGCTGGGGGACCGGGAGGAGTGGCTGGAGGACCGGGTGCTGGCATGGGAGGAGCTGCGGGAGCACCGTCTCCTGGGGGAGCTCTGGGCCGTGGGCGGGACTGCACTGGACTTCTTCACCGGCGACTGCAGTCCCCTGTGGGAGGGAGAGCATCGTCAGTACCGCCTGCCTCTGGCCTGGGGCCCGAGCTGGTACTCGCCTCCCGCCTCTGCCTCAGCTGTGGTGCTCCCGGCACCCCCTCCCTCCTCTTCCCATCCTGCCTCCGGGAAGTGACCCCAGGCCACCGAGGTTGGAGTAGAGGCAGAGTGGGACACATCCCAAGGGGACACTTCACAATATTTTGGGCCACTGGGCAGGGGCACGGTGGTCAATAACATCACATCACGTGCTGGGAGATCTACTCCCTGCCCAGTCTTGCCCGGCCCTTAGATTCCATTAGTGGGAAGGTGTGTGGGTGCTGCTGGGTTTCACCACCTCTCCAGGCTGCAGGCTCCCAGAGAGGAGCAGGCCACTGTGACCAACTAGAAATAAACACACCGTGTCACCATGTGCTTTTATGGGTGCCTTCTATTTAGGACAAGTGATATGATGTTCTCTTTAAGGTGGTACCATAAGTGTCCTCACATGAAGCGTGAGTTTACTGAAGTGAGAGTAGTACAAAGGGAGGGTAAAAATCAAGAAGCTGGATTAAGTTTGGAAACCATCGTGTAGCCGTTCTGCACCTGGGAGAACTGAGACCCAAAGGGTACAGAAGCTTGTTCAGAGCCACCGAGGACAGCGACTGCTCTGTTCTCACTGCCTAGGGCCAGGCTGGGCTCGGTCAGGACCTGCGCACTCGGCTTCGACCAAGGGTCAAGTTCCAACAACAGCAGTAGGTTCAGCCTTCAGGCTCGGCTCTCCTCTCTGGACTCTGGGCCTAGGGGACTGTGTGTTCCTCCTGGAATGTCCCTGTCCCCTCCCTTGTGTCCGGCCTTGGAGCATTCCCACCGCCTGGCACCCCCTCTCTCCCCTCTTTTCTTTTTGGGTCTGAATAATATTCCACAGATTATTTCTCCTTTTATCTACTAAAGGACATCTTGTTACTTCCAGGTTTTCGCAATTAAGAATAAAGCTGTTATACAAACATTAATTGCAGGTTTTTGTGTGGACAAAATTTTCAGTACATTTGGGTAAATATTGTCGTCTACTTTTGAATGACAGCGACTTATTCTAGACAAGAATTCAGCCTCCCCCAGGCCAGAGTGGTTGGTCCAAGTGGCCCAAGCTGGCCAAGCAGAGCCGATGAGCACCTGCCCTGTGCTCTGATGAAGTTTGGGGGGAAGGCATTTCCCTGCCAGTGGCTGGCTACACGGATGGAATGTTAGCTGGATGGACATCTGCCAGTGCCTTGGGAAGGCTGCTCGAGGATGAAGCAACAGAGGGAAGCAGAGCTGAGAGATGTAATGGGAAAGACAGATTCCCAAGGATATATTTTTGAGCCCCTGGATCCAGCTGTACCTGAAGCTGAATATTTCAAAAATCATTTTTAAAAAGTAGGATTTGTTAGAAACTATGCCAGTTCAAGTTGACTTTTTTCCTCTTGCAAATAAAAGACTCCTGGGTGGGAGCCCAGTGGGAGGTGCAGGGCAAGGGTGCGAGACTGCGATGCGGAGCTAAGGCGGCCCCCTCCTCCCGCCCAGGGGACTGACCTTGGCTCTCTGCCCCTGCTGGTGGGGGAGAGGTTGTCCGGAGCCGGCCCCTTGTTCTGGGGCGAGGAGGTGGTGAAGGAGTTCCCTGAATCAGAGGTGTTGCCGCTGGTGAGGTCCCGGCCCTGGCTGCGTTCCCCACCCGGACTCTCCTTCTCCTGCCCCCGCGACCTGCTGGAGCTGATCTGCGTGGAGGGCGGCGAGGAGGTGTCGTTGCCTGAGTCGTACTCCTGGGAGCGTCCGCGGGGGGTGGCGAGCGGGCTGGCTGTTTTGGTAAAGAGGTCAGCAGCAGACCCTGAGCCAGTGATCTGAAAGCAAAAACACCCGTTGGAGGCGCTGAGCATCGGCCGCGGCTGCGTCTAGACAACCTAGAAATGTTTACCGTCATGATGCACTGTAACGAGAGGAGAGAGGAAAGAAGAGACGCCAAAAAACAAAAGCACAACTTCCTGAGAGAATACCACAGAAAGGAGATATTTACCCCCTGCTAGGATAACTGGAAGATTGAGGTGTCATGCAGAGAAAAAGCATGCGATCCAGATTAAACAAAAGAAAAAGGAAATTATACAAAATTTAATTTCTAATGAATTAACACAAACCAAAGAGGCAACTTAATAGAAAGGGGGGGTGGATACACCCTTAATCTAAAACAATAATAAAATAAAGGAAGGGGGAGGGGAAAGAAATGGGACTGTGGGCCTGAAAAAAAAATTATCTTGGAACTGAAAAAAATAAAAAAGATAAAGCCAAAGTTTTAAACTTCAACCAAATTCTCAATGATTTGGACTATTTTTTCTTTTAAATAAAAAGTTGCCTGAATAGATCCTTAAACAAATATCACATGGGGAAAAGAAATGAAATAAAGATGAGCTTTTAAAAAGATATATGTAAAGTCAAGGTCACAAAATGACATTTTAGTAGTTTTCAATTAAAGGGGAAAAGAAAGGGGGTGGGGGGAGGAAGTCAAATAGTCTGACTGAAAACAAACAAAAAGCTCTACGGCATCTGTGTGCGTCCTTCCCCCGGAGCAGGAGCTAAGGCTCTCAGTGGCGTCTAATAAATGCTCTCATGTCTTTGCGGATTTCATCCACTTACCAAGCAAGAGCTCCTCCTTTAGTAGGTGGGTAAGGTGTAAGAGAAAGGGAAGAGCGGGCAACGTGAGTCCATCATTAGAGTCGCAAATGACAAGAAAACACACACACCTTTCTGCACACCCTCACACTTGGCCCTGAACTTCGCGTTTTGGTTTCTCCGTGTTCTGGACAGGGGAGGCGGCAGAGCTGTTCGCTTCCTCTGTAGGGGACCTCAAGCTGCCAGCGCTACCTCACGTCAGTCCCTTAGTGCCCAAGCTGGACCGAGAAAGCTCGCTGACATGTGCGGGGCCAGAGGCTGCATCTGTCTGGGTGCCAGGATGAGGCCACACAGGGAGGGTCTGCTTGCAACAAGGGGCTTGGGGAGGGGCTTGGAGATTTGGCTTTGGGGTGACTGGGAACGAGGAGGGGTTCACCTAAGACAGACGGAGGAGTGAGGGGTGATGGAGAGCCGCCCGTGGGAAGGCGGCGGTGTGTTAGAAGTGCAGCGGACGCTTTTCTCTCAGTTCTGGGTGTCTCACCTGGGATGACACCGGGTTTGGCTCTGGTCCCCGCCAACAGTGCAGGCGTTTTAGCTGCGGCAAGAGGAACCCCTGCCTGGGCCTCCTCCAAGGATAACCATCCCCATGGGATCAAGAGGGCGCCTTGGGAACGACTCTCCCAGCACCTGAGACCCCAGGATCCTGTTTAAATGGCCCGAGCCCCCAGGGTCTCTGTGGCTCATCCCTGGATCTACCTGTTCTCGAAGGTGTGCACACTCCCAGCTCCAGGGGCCTCTCTGGACAGGCCTTGGAGGTTCAGGCTGAGGTGTCAGCGTGCAGGTGTGGGAGGCCCATCCAGGTGCCGCCTGGTGGAGGCGGCGGTCGAGAAGGGAGGGCCAGGCCCTGGGCAGGTTTCCCACCCTGCCACGCCCTGCCCGGCGCCCTGAAGGGCCTGAGATCCCCGACTTAGATCGGAGATGCTTGTGAAGACAGGCTTGCCAAGGCAGGAGCACGCATTTCACTGAAGTGCGCTGGCTTGACTTATAGACATGCAGACGCTTCCCGGACCCCACACACATACTCTGTGGGCCTCACCATCACAGCCTGCCTGCCCCCACTTTATCTCACGCATTGCGGGCTTTCTTAGGAACATTCCTGCCTTCTCAGCAGTTGGCCTGAGGGTGAGACACAGAAACACGCAACTGGGAGAGTCGCCGAGGTGCCTCTGACAGCTCAGCATGTCAGCTCCGGGCCTGGGGGGCAGGGCTTCCTTGTGGATTCTCCCAGGAGGCTTTGGGCACAGCCAAGGGATGGCCCAGCGTGGCCATGGTCTACCCAGCATGGCGGCTGCTGTCCCTGCTTGGGTCCCGGCTAGCTGTGCCCTGGAGAAGGGACCTCAAAATAAGTTGCTTAGGCGGAGTTTCTAGTTCTGTTTTGTCTTCCTCTTGGCAACATGGCTGTCACGGGAGTGGGGAAGGAGAGGTGTATTTCCACGGCCGGTCAGGAGTCAGGAAGTGCCCCGGGCCCGGCGCTGGGGCCGAGCGCTCAGCTGGGGCGTGGACCAGGGATGGGCTCCAAGACTCCTCAGAGGTGGTGGGTGTCTGGTGGCCGGGATGTCACCGGTGAACCAGGCAAGCCCTCCTTGGAGGGAACCAGGCTCCAGTTAAGGGGCCGAGAGAACAGCGATTCCCGTGATCCCTGGCCTGCTCGCTGGGCGCAGCCAGGCTGGGCCTTTCTCTCCCCAGAACCTGGCAGAGCTGGACCCTCCCCTTGTCTGTGCGCAAAGCCTTGGCTGCTCATTTCACATGATTGGCCCTAGTGCATTGTGGGTCCCCGCCGGCAAAGATTTGGCGAGTGGGAGGCCCCTTAGGGCTGGTGGCGGGAGAAGGGGACCTTTTCTTCTCCACCCCACACCCTGCGCTCAGGGGGACACTTTCGGGGCGTCTCTACCTGACCACAGCCAATATCCACACGGAACTTGCGAGTTTAGAACCAAGAATTCTACATGGCATCGTGCTTCCCATTGTCACCAGAAAACAGAGAGAACGGTGCTACTGCCATGACCCCACGGGGTTGACATGACCCCCACCTGGTGCCTAAAAATACCAACCCCTGCGGCCTGTTTACAAGTCCCGCTGCTCGGGATGAATCTTATTCTGTGACACGCATGACCGCGTCCTTTACAGCCCTGCCCTCTGGCTGCGGTGCCCCAGGTCGGGATTCACAACCGGCCTGGTCAGTGGGGGGAGGGGGTTCACCCCACGGCCCAGGGCACAGCAGGGTCACGTCACATCCCTGGCAGGTTCCGAACATACAATCCTTCTCACTCTATTTGACCTGCTTGGGTTGGAGTATTTACCTGGGGTGGGTGGGGGGAGGGAGGACATGCATCCCTGCTTCTTTCCGCTGAAATCTATTTGGTTCTGTCTTTACACGTCTTGATGGCTCATCGATATTTCCAGGGGACAGGACGTTTTAATACATTCATTAGAGACGTCTGGTTAGTTTAATGGCCTCGCAGCCTGACTCTACCTTTTCCAGAGCTTGCCATTCACCCACACAAAGAGGAGACACAACTGAAGGGAGCCAGAGGGAATGCGTGTGTGTGTGTGTGTGTGTGTGTGGGGGGGGGGGGGGTGACAGCTACAAGGACGCACATGACCAAGTCTCGACTCCGTCCCTGGCCTCTGCCCTCCCGTCTCGGGGTCTCCTTCTGAGCCGGGCGCCCACTCCAGCATGGAAGATGCAAACAGGCCCGTACCACCCTGACACCAGGGCAGCTGCCCGGCTCCACCCTGTCTCCTCCTTTACGTAACAGCCTCTCAAAATTCATCTCTGAGCTCTTCTCCATCCACTGGGACTTTCTCCGCTAGGCCCGCAGCTGCTGCCTGCCCCTTTCTTCCCGGCTTGGCTGCAAAACGGTGCTCAAGATACTTGCTAGGAGCCACCTAGACCTGCTGCCCAGTAACAGTGTCTGCAGGGAGCCAGGGACCCATTTAAGATGGGGAGCTCCTCAGACCAGGGCTGTCCTCTTTGGTCCCCTCTGACTCCTTCCTCCACCTCGGCCTTGCCCTTCCTTTCATGTCTTCACAAAGGCCCACCCTTCGGTCTTGACTTGAACCTTCAGCCCCGGTAAGATCTGCTTAACCACCAGGTGAACAGCACCGGCCTTACTATGGGTTCTCCGGGAAATGGAGCCGGGAATTCGAGTGCTGGTAGTGTGTCCCAGAGGGCGTGGCCGTAGGGACATGGGGGGATGAGATGAGGGAGAGGGGGACCCAGTAGAAGATGTATCAAACCAGCTGCCACAGTGGGCGCCGGAGGACAGGAGCCGGGGCAGAACTGACGCCAGGGCCCGGCTCAGCCTGGGCGGGGCTGCGCGTTGACTCCCCATCCCGCCACTCCCACTCGGGCTGAAGCCCGCGCCCGAGCTCTCACTTCTCGCATTTGTCCGGACGGCCTCATGGCCACGCAAGGCGGCCTTGGACGGACAGAGACATCGCCTGGCAGCTGGAAGTTGACCATGAACCCCCGGGGGGACAGAGATGCTTTGTTTTGGATACGCCCCTTCGTATGCGCAACCACCAATATACACTAACCCAGTGGTTGGCAAACTGCAGCTCGAGAGCCACATGCGGCTCTTCCACTGCTGACTAACTGACAACACTGTAGAATGGGGTGCTTTCACCTAACAACCCCGTTCCGGTTCGTGTTGAAGAAATAAGATCTTGCAATGCTGGGTGCACATTCCTGCAGTATCAGCGTGAGAGTCACGGCGGCGGCCTTGTCGGGGCCTGAGCTCTCCGGCCCCAAGCCCCACAAGGCCCCCCACAAGGCCCCTGAGACACCAGAGTCTGTGCCCCTCTGTTCTAAGTGTTGTTACCCCCTCACTCTTAAAGCAACAGGGACACCTGTGTGCTGTGTGGCCCGTCTCACCTTCCAGAGCTACAGTGGATCGCTCCCGCTCCCCCATCTCGACCTTTCACCCCTCCCGGGCTTTGTCAATGAAACGAACTAGGAGACCAGAGCATAAGCCTTATCGATGGGAAGGACTGCCGACCTCAGATTTGATTTTTAAGGGACAAGCTCCTGGCCATGGGAGCGAGCAAGCAGCCCCTCTCCTGCAGCTCCTCGGCTGAAGCTCCCGTCCTCCCCCGCGCTCATCAGCCTGCCTCATCTCCTTTCCCAACACACTCGGCGTTAACACTTGAGTTTTTCTAATAAGTAATTAAGTCC